TATATTTATTTATATTATAATCAATACTTTAATAATTGCACTCTTTGAATTTTCATGTCCATGATTCCTATAAATATAGCTTGATTGATGCATTGTGATTCACTTCTTGCATAACCGTGATTCAGTCTGAGCAAGAAGAACCTTCGGCTGCTCTGCTAAGTGAGGACATGATGAGGAGGGCTTTCGGGCTGCCCCTGCCGTGGGCTCAACCCGAGGCGAAGAAGAAACCATCAAGTGAGAAAAGTTTGAGGGGAAGAAGAGACCAGAAGGAGGAACCGACCAGAAGGCGAGAAGCGGACGAAGTAACTTTCTTGCAAGAAATGAAGGTGGAAGAGCCATTTAATGAAGTGGGATTATCTGATTCGCTTTAGGACCTTGGACAGGGGAAATTGCGACTGGAAGGAAGCAGGTTATGGCACATCAGGAGTAATTACCTTTTATGCTTGTAAATTGCTGATTCTTTTCATGACAAGCTATTTAAAAAATATGATTGTAAATGCTGTTCCAATATACGTTCCACATCAGGAGTAATTACCTTTTATGCTAAAAATTGATACTTAAATAGCTTTGTAATTATGGAGAGCTGTGTAGTCTTAAGGGACAAATAATGCTTTGTAGGTCAGAATGAATGAAAGGGTAAAGATGCTTGCTGTGTTTGAAGGTGGTAATATGATTTCTGATTATCTTATTTGTTGCCAGGGAGGTGTAATATTACTTCTTTTTTGTTCTTGTATACCCTGCTTAGTCCATCCAATTAGAGAGCTTCATATAGAAAATTGGGATGTTGATTAATGGCATGATTGGTGAAATACCGTGTGCAATCTAATTGGCCTATTCTTAGTTATTATATTTCATGACATTAATCTGGAGGATATTTAAAGTTGATTTATTTTTTTAATTTCGTGCAATTGGTTGCTTCGGTTGGAGTATACATATGATGTGATGTGACAAAATATGAGTTATGCCTGTTGTATGCATCGGGTAACCTGTACTGGGGTTTGGGGTCAGCAACTCCCATTTAGGTGAGATGGCTGGCCCCTTCTCTCCACTTCTCTCTCTCCCACCTTCTTTCTCTCCCTCTCCGCCTATCTCCCTGTGGAGCAGCTTGGATGGCCACAGAACTTGCTGTTGGCAAACGTTGCATGGACACTTTGGTAAGTAAATTTTCTTTATTTTCTATATTTTTTTACTGATATATTGTTTTTTTTAATAATCGCAGGACGATAAGCTCCAGGTATTCAGGGAAGTCCGGGCAAGTGATGTGTCACTGCGGAATGTCATCCTTGCTACTCACGTCACGCCGACAATATAGCTACGAGCGACAGTTTTATAGGTGCCCAAGGTGGAAACACGGCATGGACGACTACGGCTTCTTCATGTGGGCAGACAACCCTCAGATTTTATGTTGTCCCAATCAGACAAAGTTGCATGGGATTCGTCGGTGTCACAATCGGAGACCATTACATGTGGTTCTAATGCTTCCCAACCGCATAATGTTGCTCGGGATTCGATCGTGTACCAACCGAGCAACGGTTCTCATGAGATGTTATTGTTACATTTTAAATTGAATGTTATAGTCCTATTACCAATTGTAGTTTCAATATATATTTTTGTTTTAATTTGGTATCTTGAACCCTACTTTAAGTGAAGTGGTATGCAAAACTTTGTATTGTTATAAAATTACAAATTTGTCAATCAACAAATCTATATATATGTGTCTATACTTTGTGTTAATTGTGTAATAAAATAAGGGTTATAAGAAGTTTTTCACTTCGATTTCTTCAGCTCCACCTGCATATTTCCTTCTATTTGAGTTTACTTTATTCTTATTCTCTCTCTGGGAAGACTTCTTTTCTGCGTTTCACCTACATTTTAATGTTCCTATAATATTAAAAAATATATATCACATGACAAAATATTCATCCTAACTTTTTAAAATATACCACATCTTTTCAAATATAGGTAAATTTATATAAATATAAAAATTAAATTTTATTTGTTAATAAAAGGATTCATGTAACTTATATATTTTAAGTGTTGCGACATGTAATTTTGTTAATAAATTAAATTTCAATTAATTTATTTTATAATTAGTGTAAAATGTAAATTATTTAATCAAATTTATGTTACATATAATTTAAAAATAATTTTTTTTTAGAATTAAAATTTATAATGTTTGAATGGTCTTTTATTTACAAAAAACTGTAAATCAGTTGTTCTTCAAAAGCACAAACCAAACAGCTAAACAACTTATCCATATAATGGGCAGAATGATCATTTATCTGGAATCAGTTGTTTTCCAAATGCACAAACCAAACAGCCAGCCAGCTTGTCTGGATCAGCTGCTCATCAGCAGATTATCAGGAAAAATTATTTATCAGCATAAGCTGGATCAACTGTTTATCAGCATAAGCTGGATAAACTGCAGCTGCCCCAAATAGACCCTCAGTTTCTAACTTTAAAACACCATTAAAATCCTTAAAACTTAATGATTGTGAAAATGGGGAGATTTACATATATTTCACTCAATTCTCATGTGTTTACATATCTAACCCCTAAATTTCAAATTTTGCATACATGCCAGCTTACATATGCATGAAAAGGTTTAATTCACTTTTTAAAAATTAAAATGGTGATATTTTTAATGTGAAATGAAAGATTCTATAAATGTAAAAAGTAAAATTTAGGTGATAGATATGCAAATACATAGGATTGGGTGTTATGAGCAAACGCATACCACATCAAGCTATTGCCAGAATCTAGAAACAATAGTTTTGTGCTATTGATTACCTGGATCGATCCCATCGGTGTTGGGAGCCCCGATGACTGGAGCTAAGATGGTAAGACCTGAAAATGTTAAATTCCTGCAGTCATAAGGGTGAATTGTCCAGAAAGGCGAATCACGCAGTGTGATATTGGAGATCACTATGTCGCTAGACCACATGATCTGCAGTAGGGGTCCTCTCGTGTGGTTGAGAAGTTTCTTCTTGTGCTTTATCCACCACAACTGACCCTGCCCATCAATAGTTCCATTGTGTCCTGTTCGGTAATTGTTGAAGAAATTTATTTGAGAATTTTTGAATTGTGACAATATTGAACAGTGGTTTTGATTTATCCAACCTGTAATGACAACGTCTTTAAGATGTTGGCCATGGATTAGGCTTCCATATCGAGGTCCTTTATGCTCCCTTCCATATCCATACGATGGCAAAGGAGGCAATAGTGGCCAATAACTCTCATCCTGTTACAGTGCAAGAGTCAGAGCAACTGCAATAAATGACAATGAAATTCCTGCTAATCAAATGAGATATCATGTAGTAAACGAATGGTTCAAAACTATGAATCTTGCTTTTCGAAGATTAGATAAGCGTAACCACTACAAAGAAAATATGCGACCTGCAGAAATATGAACTTTTCAAACTTTCCTACACTTTTGCTCTCTTACACAAATGCACCTCACTGCATATATTCGCTGTCCTAGTCGACAATATGAACTTTGTTATTTTTCCTTATTGCCCTATACTCTTGTTCTCATCATAGCCAGTGTCACCACTCAATATTGCAGCCCACCCATGTTGTATGATGAGTCATGATTTAAGCTCTCCATCTTCATGATGTGAGTTTTCCTTGAGAGTACATACCTCTTCTTTCATGGCAACAGGGCTTGTTCTATCATCTTCCCAGAAGAAATCCTCTCTACCACCAGTATTACCGTTGTATTTAATGGCAACAACAAAAGATGAGATTGTGCTCAACGAAGGCGGATTGGTGCTGGTTGCAATGTAAAAATTGCTTTACCATGTGATCAAGTTGTAGCCACAATATTTATACTCTAAATGGTGTTGGAAAAATATATACCTCCTTTGACTCTCCAACATATCCCACATTTACCAGTTTTTTGACTTCTAAGTTTTGCTTTGGTAGCAAACCTCAAGATAAATACGATCAATTGCTTAATAGAAAAAGGAATCTCTCTCTCTCTCTCTCTCTCTCTCTCAAGTTATCTATTCTTCAAGTTGTTTCTCTAGTATATCTTAGGTTTTAGATTTAGGAGCGTCTTCTTATATAATAGATAATTAATATTTTTTTCCTATATTGCACACGTCTCCTTTGCCAACTATTATTATTGTTGATGGTTATCCTTCATTTGTTTTAGAAAAAGAAACTATCCACCCATTTTTGTATTTTATTCTCTCATATATGCTATATGCTCTTTAAATTCAATAAATTTACTATACATACATTCTCTAACTAAAATACATAATTATTTTGTAACATTTTATCTTATTAATTGTTTGATATGATCTTAACTCAAAGAAGATGAGTTGATTTTAGGGGTATCTACTACCTAATGAGTGTGACCTCTTCTACTTGCCTCCACTATTTCTCTTTATTAGTTACACCAATATTTGGTTCATCTTATTCATGCTTGATATTAGGAATTGCCACCTTCTTCCATTGAAATTTGAAGGCTATCTTCATGAATAGAGTAGATATCATGTCTTATTCTCATCATCCACTATTAGATGTTGCCTCCTCCTTACAAGTTACTCCAATATTTGGGTCCTATTTTGACTCACTTTGGGTCCAAAGTTACCATTGTTCATGATCATTCTTGATTTATTTGAATATATTTATTAAAACATTTGTCAGAAGCCCTTGATAATTTTTTTCTCAAGTTTTATCTAGAAGTTAAAAGTTTATTTTATTTTATTTTTGGTATTATTCATCTTTTCAACCATATAATAAAATCTTTCTCCATCTGATTCATCCTATCTTCCTCGAGTACTCTCAAACTCAAACAATATTTCGATGTTATGATCCTCTCACCCAATCTCTATAAAATTCATTTGACATTATCTTTCATAAAAAATACATTTTTCCTTCAAAAGCTTATAAATCATCGCTATATATTCCATTCCTCAAACTATTTATATTTGCTCCTTACCCCCTCCTCATATACAGGCGCACTCTACAAGACTTCAACATCCTCCTCCTACAACACTCGTACCACAAAATCTATTTATACTGAGTATAGCTTTGACATTGTCTTCAGATCTACATCTTAATATTGCACTGCAATAAGGTAAAGGATAAATTACTTATAATCTTACTCACTTCATGACCATGATGATTTATCTCTTTTTTATAGTTATTTTTTCACATCTTTGTTTGTTGTCTCTATTCCCATAACATACCTCAAAGAAACGCAACATTCTCTATGGAACAGGTCAAGGATATAGAGATGGATGGTTTTCATAGACAATAACCATGGGAATTGTTTTTCCTTTACTATGTGGTCCAGCAAATTCTTTGTCAATAAGTTTTCATAACCAAGTTTCATCATGATAGCTGCAATGGTCAGTAAAAAGGTTTGACTAGCTACCAAAATATTTTATTCAAGTCTATGAAGGATTATTCCAATGCATTCACTCCAATCATCACAATATCAAAATTTTCTCATTATGGCCATCAATCAAGCCTGGTTAAGAAAAGCCTTTGTTTATGTTGATTTGAATGAAGAAGTATATATGGTCTCTTGGAGATATGCCTAAGGGGAGAAATAAATATCCTCATTAAGGAAGGCCATTTTTAGGCTCAAGCTAAGTCCACAAACTTGATTTAATAAACTTCATAAAGTTCTTACAAAAGTTGTACTTTAACGTATCACCACTGATTTTATCTTTGTCAATCATACAACAATGAGTTGAGTGATGATAGACATTTATGCAGATGATATATTACTCACTAGGAGTGATAAGGAAAATAAATCTAAAGCAAAACACAGCTTAAGAAATTATTTCAATGCCAAAGATATAGGACCATATGCACCTCCTTGGACTTATGGCCAAATCCAAACCAATTGAGCTTGGTATGGTCAAATGAGTCTTACCTTAACTCATCCTAGACTCTAGAGTTGAGTTTGAAACCAGCCACCAACCCATGGTTATGCTTGATATTTATCTCATGGGTAAAAGTTTTTTTTTTATTTTTAAAGGGAACATTGAAATGTTTTTCTTGGAATTCTCAGGGAGGCTTCCAAAAAAGGGATATTATATACTCGGATTGAACACTTAAATATTAAAGCACTCACACAAAAGAAGGCTTCTAGCAAAGGGATATTCTAAACTCAAATTGGACGCTTAAATGTTGAAATATTGACTAATGTCAATTATGTTGTGTTCATTGGTGGCAAAAAGCCAAACTGCTGAGCAAAATATCTTTGTAGAAGGTAAGATTGTCACTTAGAAGATTAATCAGCAAATTGATGCAGTCATAGCTAGTGCTGAAGTAGTACATAAAGCCTTGATTCATTTTACATATGAAATGATGCGAGTCAAGGCTTTGTTAGAAGAATTTGATTTTCCAATAATTAAGTCTATGAGTTCACATTATGAAAACCATGCAGTCATATAAAATATCAGCAATCCCATATTTTATGTAATCAAGTTTGATTGCCATTTGATACGAGATGTTGTACTTCTCAATAAAAGTGAAAAGTTTTACTTATAATTGTAGTTCAAAACAAGTATCTTCACTAAAGCGCTAGGTCCTCTTTTTTTTTTTTATGTAGGAAGCTAAAATTGAAAAATATATATGCTCCAACTTGAGGAGTGTTAGTGTACGGAGTTCATTAAGAAATAAGTTCAATTTAAACCCTTCACCAGTATCAAATAGGTCACCTAGAACTATAATGATAAGTAACATAAATCCTTTGGGTATTAAAACAAACCCAATGCTGTACAAAATTTGAAGGCACTAGAAACTATTGGAAAAATCAGCAAGGTTCATCCTAAGAGTAATTCAACCATTTTATAAAGTTTTCATAACACCCTAACATCAAAATAGGCTATCAATTAGTTTCCAATTCACCAACATATGCATGGAATACAGCTTCAAATGTAAGACATCAGAGACTACATTCTGCTACATAAGGCCTCATGGTACACTCCTTCGCACTTTTCCTTAATCCTATTTGTGTTTTGCTTAGTGAAGATGAGCAATCTTCTATCAATCAAAAAACCTGTCCTCACACTCTTTCGTATATTGAAGATATAATACAACCGTTGCTCTTAGGATTTTTCATTTTATAAAAGGAAATAGATACAACGCAAATCAAATCTTTCTAACGAGAAATCGACAGTTAATTTCCTAACATATGAATATTTTTCGATTACCTATTCAAATCTTTCTAACGACAAATCTGACTGATATCTTCTGTATCACCAACAACACATATCTTCGATTTCTCTTTCCACTTCCCTTGCAGGTACTCAAAATAATAGAAATAAAAATATATATATGTATAACCCTGCTTGCCTGAATCCCTAGAATAATTGCACCTTCCGCGAGAAAAAGCGTCATGTGACTGGTGAGATTGAACGGAGCAGTGAGCCACCGCCCTGCTGGCACGTTCAGCTGCCCTCCACCTTTTCCTCTAAGCCGCGCGATCGCTGCAACGGCGCTCGCAAAAGCCTCCGTGTTAAGCGTCTGGCCATCTCCCACCGCCCCAAAATCCAATAGATTCAACACCGTTGGCCGCAACCTCGGCAACAATCCCTCCACAGTTGCCGTCGCGCGGCCGAATAGCCAGATCCCATCGATGGAGCTCTTTTGCCACACCAAAAGAGATCCCAACACGATTATCCACATCGCTGAGAAGACAGTAAAAGGGTACGAAAGTGTCGCCGGAAGCCATCGCCGGTTTTGGAAGAAGTGTAAGCGGGCACAAGGAGGTGAGATCTCCACCATTTTAGTCGATTTAGGAGAAGTAACAGATTCTGGAATGTAATACTTAATTGAACTTCCTACTAACATCTGCAAGTATTTCGGAGAAGACCGAAATCTGCCTGAAGGATGGAGTCGGGTTTTTGCCTATTTATATATAAATATATAAAGGTTAATCCCCGATCAACCTCATAGTCGAGCTCCACCCTCATTATCAGCAAATTGGTAAGAGGGGGATTCGAACTTATGACTTGAGGGACTTGCGATCTTCAAAGAGGATGTTCTACCAACATGCCACGGTTTGCGGCACACACACACATACAGATATATCTATATATATATATATATATATATATATATGGTTGTGGGATAAGATGTCTGTTATCTTCTCTGTTTTCTTTGCAAGTTATTTGTGAAAATGAAAGCAGTTAAGTTCAAGCTCTATCAGGTTTGATGGGTTGGTTCTAAGTGCATTGTCGAATATTTAATTTGGAATTACGTCAGTTTCAATTTTAAGTTTGGGGCTTTCTATTTTTTTCTTAATATATTTGAGATATGAAAACATTAAATTAAATAATTAATTGGTATGCCACCGAAAAAATAAGTTGATCGAGCATGAATCTTAGAGCAAACTTTTGAATTAAAAATTTTAGATTACATTATATGATTATTTGAACTTTATTTATGATAAACTCGAAGGCCAAAATAACACCAATGTCAATGCTCTCTATATGACAACTCCTCGCATGTTTAACACCAATATCAATGCTCTCTATTACATTAACAATGATGACCACTTCAACAACATCATACTAACACAAATATGATTAGTAGTCACCATTACTAACAATGCCAACACCATTACCGACACCCAACAAATCCAAACACTCGTACTTAATTCCGTTAACAATGTTAATGCATGATATCATTAAGGGTCTATTTGGGATAACTGTAGTTTATTGAATAATCTGCTGATAAACTGATTAAAATAATCTGCTGATAAGTTAGGTGAATCTGCTGATAAGTTAGGTGCGGTAGCTATTAGAAATTTTTATTTTTTTGGAAAAACCAAACCGTTGCTAATAAGCTCCCACATTAGAAATTTTTATTTTTTTGGAAAAGCCAAACCGTTGCTAATAAGCTCCCACCGCACCTAGATAGGTGCGGTGTGAAAATGTTGTTTTCTACTTTTTGAAAACGCATAAGCTGTTAAAACGTAGTTTACCCAAATAGGTCAGGTGCGTTTTTAAAACGTCATCTCACCAAATAAGCTGCCCCAAACATGCCCTAAGTTTCACACCAACATCAAAACCTGGCAAGGCTAATAAGATTATCTCCGTTCATCATTACCAAGGATAATGTCCATTATTACTTTCAAGGACATCAATATATAAATGACAACAAGGACATCAATAAACGATAAATACTAACTAGATTGTCATCAACAATGTTATGATTGCTATTGGCAAAAAAATTTGAAGTGCATTGTCAACGCCTACATTAACAACTCACATATCTCAATTGGGTTGTCACCAAAAATATTGATTCACAATATTCGCATTGAGACCAATGCATGTTGTTGACACCACACTGATACCCGATCAATGACACCAACATAGTTGTTATGTGTCTAAGACAAATCAAGCCAGTTACTTCAATTATATCCTCTACCATCAATATTAATAAGGTCCATCCGTATTAATGTCAGTGTTATTCATCTTTATAAAGGTTGATGTTTGCTATAAACTTAAATATTGATGTTGGCCATCACTGACAATATTGATGTTTGCCATCAACATTAACTTTTATGCCCATTATTGTTGATAGGTCTGATACCTCCATCGACACTACTGTCGATGTTTAACATCTCAACTAAGGTCAAGCTCATCTTGTTGGTTTTTTGTCCTTTCTCTAAGCAAGAGAACACTTAAGTTGATCGGCGATTACAACTTGGTGATATTTCCAATGCCTCTAAGGTTTCTCCTACATTTATCATAAAAGTTATCATTCATAGCTCATGAATCATTGAACAAATGCCATCTTCAATTTTTAGGATATTTTTTATCGCCTATGATGCTCTCATGGAATCATTTGATAAACGAGCGTTAAAATTTTTTCCCTTCTAAATACACTAAAAACATCTTGTCCTTTATAAAATGTTCTCAACTTATCTTATCTATACATAAATCTAATATCTACATCATATAAAAATTATAAATTGTTTCTATTATCGCAAATATTTAAGCACAAAACAATGACAATATTTTTATTAATTTAATAAAACTTTAAAATATTTTTGTTGAGAAATTTGGGCTAAGAAAAACAGAAATCGACACAAATCCAGAAGAACACGAAGAAATTTACGAGGTTCGGCAAAGATGCTTACATCCTGGGGAGCATAGCGGCGACTTTCTTTTCAATATTCAAAAAAGAGTACAGAATACAAGATTTGAAATCTCAGAGATCCAGAGACTCACCTAGGATTACGAATAGGACATATATATAACCCTATAGTACAATATATAATTACTTAAATTACTCTTGTACCAAACTGCGGGGTGTTGCTGCCACACCCCCAACCCACATAATGAAACTCCCCCGATTGGACAGATTCATCCGCTCTACTCTATTTCAGCATCTGTCCCATTTATGGTATATGAGTCATCCTTAACAAATCTCCACATTGGTGAATATCTAGTCCCATAGGAGAAATATATATACCCAACAAATCTCCACCTTGGCGAATATCAAGCCCCTTAAGAGAAATACATATGTCTAACAAATCTTCACATTGGCAAATATCCAGCCTCCTAGGAGAAAATACATCATGGAGTTTCTTATGCACCAGTGTGGGTTCGACCACCACGCTTCCACTGCGCCATACCATAGCTCCCCCCAACCCACTAAATTCCAAGAGACACACCTCTTCAATTCCAAAAGACATCACTTTATTCCAAGAGCTTCAAATTCTGGTATTATGAGTCATACCTAACAAATCTCCACCTTGGTGAACATTCAACCCTCACATTGGCGAATATCTAGCCCCATAGGAGAAATACATATGCCTAACAAATCTCCACCTTGGCGAATATCCAGCCCCTTAGGAGAAATACATCATGAAGTTTCTTATGCATCAATGTGGGTTGGACTACAAATCCTTTTAAATAATTCCTTAATTGAAATTCCCTTAATTAAGTTTTCTAGAAAAAGAACTTTTCCTTAATTCAACTTTCCCAGAAATCCTTTTCCTTAACTTCCAAGAAAAGCTTCGCCTCTGCTTTCTAGAAAAGCTCATTTTTCTTTCCAGAAAAGCTCCACTTTCCTTTTCAGAAATGCTCTGTTTATGCTTTCCTTCAAGAAAAACTTTGTCTTCCAGAAAAGCACGGCTTCCTCTTTCCTTTCAGAAAAGCTCCGCCTCCGCTTTCCTTCTCATAAAAAATCCACCTTCCAGAAAAGCTCCTGCAAATCTGGAGCCTGCGCCTACAATTCCGCATCCTAGAATATCACAAAAGGGTGAATACTGATTTCCTTCCAATCGGGCAGCCTCCAACTTTCGTTTTCCTAGTGCAATAACAGGTTCCCACTTTTAGATGTCATGGAATATCTCTGGAATATCTCGGCGCTGAATTTCCTTTCCAGCAAACTTTCATTTTTCGAGTGAATTTCCCTTTCTGCGTCCGCCCTTCCAATTCTGCTCCTCTGTCGCTCCTTCGAGTCTGTTCGCGAACTGCCGAATTCACTAAATCCGAATCGAAGGGCCCCTCACCTCTGCCTGTCACGGAAGAAGCCCCTGCCTGTCGCGGAAGATTGCCTCTGACTGTGGCGGAAGAAGCCCAGATGCGCGATTCGCCTTTGTCGCGATTTTGTTCCTCCCCTCCCGCGATCGCGAACCATCGCACAACCGTCGAATCTGTCTTCGTCGTCCTCTACGTCACGAATCCTCGGCTGGGCAGAACCTTCGTCGAGCTCCCGCCTTTCCCGCTCGCTACTCGCGACTTACAGATCCTGGCCGCGAACCTCCAAGTGAATCTTCCTGCCGAAATCGGAACTGTTGCAAACTCTCTTCCCGTTCCAACCTTCTTCCTGCGCCGACAAAATTTTTCTTCTCTGCCCTCGAACCAGGCTCTGACACCACTTGTTAAGAAATTAGAGCTAAAAAAAATAAAAATCGACACAAATCCAGAAGAACAAGCAGAGATTTATGAGGTTCGGCAAAGTTGCCTACATCTTGGGGAGTAGAACGACGACTTTCTTTTCAATATTCAGAAAAGAGTACAGAATACAAGATTTGGAATCTCAGAGACCCAGAGACTCACCTAGGGTTACAAACATGACATATACCTATACTACAATATCTAATTACTTAAATTACTCATGTACCAAACAGCGCAATATGTAATTACTTAAATTACTCATGTACCAAACAGCAGGGTGTTGCCCACACGCCCCCACACCCCCAACCCACATAATGAAACTCCCCTGATTGGACAAATCCTTCTGCTCCACTCCGTTCCAGCATCTGTCTCATTTATGGTATATGAGTCATACCTAACAACTTTTTAAGAGTAAAAAACAAAGATATTTAAATTTTGATATTATTTAAATTTACCTAATATTTGAAATAAATATATGATGTATAATATAATAAATACAGTTAAAAAATTGTCATCATGAAGTCTTTTTAATTTTATTTTCTTAGATTTTAAGCAAACTTCATCATAATCAAACACACATAATACATACAACATCTCAAACCTAGGACCTTTTATTTGAAAGCCTAAATTTAAAATAAATAGGCTCAGGCGAGCTGCATAGTAAAATCTTTTACTGATACTTTATTCTATTATTATTATTATTAAACTATTGTTATAAACTAACAAAAAGCTAAAATTAGCACTCTATTGTGAGCTAGTCGTTTAATTATGACCGAATAACTAAGGGTTGCTACTGGCTAAGGTTGTCCGAATAGCATGTCATTTGCAAATGCTCATGTTCGTCATGTTAAGTAGCTCGTGTTGATTTGCTTATTAAGTGAACTGAACACAAACAATTTTTTTTTTAATTTATTTTGCAAATGAGCCGAGCAAGAACAAATTTTTTATCGATCCCGTTTGGCTAGTTTTAACTCTGGTTAATTGAATA